GGAAATGACGTAGGCGATTATTTACAGGGCTATATCTCGTAAAGGGTCGTGCGCAGGGGTATGGTTTCTTTGACTTTTTCGTTCGTACGGAGGGGTCTTCAATTCGGGGGGGGTCGTCGACCCGCTCATTCGCAGGGTAAATTGTGGCTAACAGGCGGTCACGTGACTCGTAGAGCAATTTTCGGAGGGCTATATCTCGCGAAGGGTCGCGCGTAGGGGGTGGTTCATTAGACATTTATTGTTCGCACGGGGAGGGCTACCCTTTGGGGGGTGGCGACCCCCTCATTCGGAGGGTGAATCTTACCCTTTTTCTTGCCATATATCTAATAATAGACAGATGTCATTGTCTCTCCAGATATCTTTTTTATTTTTCTGCCGATAGCCGGACACGTGTTCAGCAGACATCTTGTATTTTCTCGCGCGCGTGGGATTGTGAGATCTCTCTTATGACTGGATCTAGTTTCAAGAACTCTCTCGAGTCGATCGCGATTTAACCTCGTTTCAGTCGAGATTGAAACGGTCGAGAGAGGTCGCACCACGGAACAGTCTCCGACCTTGGTCACAATCTAAATGTTCGGTGCGAACGGGGTATTAAGAAAAGTGAATACGATACGATTTCCTTGAAAATCGTAGTAATCTACATCAGAAAAATTGCAAAAATCTGATTAAATAGGAGCGACAAAAACTGTAGACCTACTCTATTTTCAATTCTGATTCAAAATTGACCAATTAGAATCAGTATATCCTATATTCGAATGTCTACGCCCCTATTTCAGCAGGAACAAGTCGGCCTGGGAGAGAAATGGCACGCAAATAACTCTAATTGAGTCATCACAGATTACTTTATAGCAGTGTTTCTCAATCTCTAACGAATCGTCGCCCCTTCAACGTAGTATCGCCCCCTTCAATAAAACCGTTACGTAGTATCGCCCCCTTCACTACAAAATTCCGATGCCGAGGGACAAGGCTAATGCCAAATTCGTACTGCATTGAATAGACTAGTGACTAGTATAATGTTATTTGTTTAATTATTATACGATATAACGAATAAAATATCTAATTATTCTTAATGTAATATTTTACTATATCGCCCAGAAAATTGTTTTTAGCCCCCAAAATATAAGTTGTTATTAATCGCCCTCTGAACATGGAAAAACGCCCACATGGGGGCGATATTGCCCCCGTTGAGAAACACTGCTTTATAGTATAATAAATTTTTGTTGTCTTTAAATGTAAACATATTTGAAGATTATCTTGACGTGCTAGCGGCAGACAATGTGACGGTAGTCTTAGTCTCTTCTTACAAAGTACTGGATTAGCAAATGACATTCATTTTGTCAAGTTAACATGATCCAGCAAAACACGAGAAGCAAAAATATCCGCCAAGGAATTAAGACGATACATGCGACACTTAATTTACCTTCTGGATATCAGGAAGAGTCACCGATTCTTCTTAACTACAATGTGTGCCATACATGGAAGCTGTGGAAGCGCCGCTTCCCTTGTATTTTCTAAAATATAAACACATATTGTGCGATTATTTTCATATTTTAACGTACTTTGAATTACTTAAAACTAATATTTTATTATCACAGCATTATGTATTTTATTACAAATTTCTGTACATGTGAAAAACAATGATAAGATTGCTATTGTATATTCGAATATAAATTCGTATATACATAGTCCCAATGGAAGCGCCGTTTTGTCGAATAAGGGACAGCTTCCACGGCGAAAATATTTGAATCGTGTAAAGCAGCCAGATTATACACATTCGCTCATGTGCTTTACAGAGCACCAACCTCACGCGGTTTAGCTGGTGGATGCTACACCAAAATATGGTATAATGCTTCCAATGATTTCATCCATTAGCCACTGATAGGGAATTATTTGACTAAGTGCATTGTTTTAAGATTTAAAAAGCGAAGATTTTATGTTATTTTTATGTACGTTTCTTTACAAAGCTATATTTAATTATAATTNTCCATAGGGTAGCCATGTAGATCGCAAGTAATTCAGCTTGGAATACAGTGCAAAGTTTATGCAGTTTTCCTTTTTGATTGTAGATTTCCATTTCGTTACAGTATGCTACGAAAGCACATCCAATGGAGTCGTTTATGCCAGAGCCATCAGTGTATATCTTTAAATCGGAATAGCTAGGCAGATCAATGCTAAGAAAATTGTTGATATTAGGCGGTAGACTGGTATTGATGGGACTTTGATGTTCATAAACACTGGAACTAAGGTCACATGTGGATGTAGATATATCGATTCCCATTTTGAGTTGTTGGAGATTATATTCCATTTGAATAATCTCAGTTATTGGTGGTTTTCTAGAAATTACTTGCAAACTACAATTAGGAGCTGTCCGGTATGCCCTAGTTAATAAAAGTAGAGCTTTTCTTTGAGATGATATCAATTTCCTGTGGAGATGTACTTTGTGAATAGCATTACCCCAACTACAGCAACCATATGTTATGATGGGGATATAAATTTGATCATAGATGATACCAATTGCCTCAGAAGATAAACCCCAGTTTTTACGCGCTATTTCAGAAAAAGCGTGAAAAATGAGAGAAGTTCTTTTGGCTACATATGAAATGTGTTCATCCCACCCAAGCCTGAAATCCAGCCATACTCCTAGGTATTTGATGCACTTTTCAATTTTTATTGACTGATTATTCATTTTTATTGTAGGCTTGCGAAGATATAAATTTGGTTTTCTTGGTTTGTTGAATACAATACCGGTAGTTACGAATAAGCAAGTCGAATAAGGGACAGCTTCCACGGCGAAAATATTTGAATCGTGTAAAGCAGCCAGATTATACACATTCGCTCATGTGCTTTACAGAGCACCAACCTCACGCGGTTTAGCTGGTGGATGCTACACCAAAATATGGTATAATGCTTCCAATGATTTCATCCATTAGCCACTGATAGGGAATTATTTGACTAAGTGCATTGTTTTAAGATTTAAAAAGCGAAGATTTTATGTTATTTTTATGTACGTTTCTTTACAAAGCTATATTTAATTATAATTATATTGACAGATTTTCAGAAATAAAATTTTTAGAATTTTTATCACTTTTACATGTTAATAAATTTAAATATTATGAAAAACAATTTTCCGAAGCGAGTTTTAATTCTTTAAATTAAGTAAATTTTATGGTAAATTTTTTGATTTATCTAAATTACGTAGTGGATTGCAATATTTATATTCCTGTCCAGACTATATTGGAAAGTCACTCTTAGACATAAAAAATATTATAATTAATGACGATCTAAACAAAGGTGTACTAAATGAATTACAGTATATGATTTAATATCATTGATTTTTACGGTACCATCTACGAGTGCGTCCTTAAGAGCGTATTTTTCAACCACGAAGCGAATTCATACATTGCCAAGGAACTCAGTCAGAGGAAAGTTTTGTCGTTACTAGCGTTGCTTTCGATAGAAAAAGTGCTTTTAAATACTTTGATGGAATCAACGACCAGCGATTTTTATGANTGATTCAAATATGCACTAACCTTTCGAAAAGACGTTATTTATTTAACTTGTTTTCGTCTTGTTTTTACGTCTGCGACGAGAAGCGAGCAATTGCCTATAAATATTGCACTTTTACATCAATATATACAAAGATATATTTGAAAATATATGCATAAAATTAAAATATGCACTTACCTCTCGAAGGGACGTTTTTTTATTTAAGTCATTTAACGAATTTAGTCATTGTTTTTTAAAAAACGACATCTAGATAATGTATTGTTTTCTATATTGTAATTTTTTTTATTGTTAAATTTTTCTTTTATTTGTTGCCTTGATTCCGAAATTTTATTTTTGATATGCAGCAACTGACTTAGTTGCTGTCTACAAGAAATCTGTAATGTGTCCGTGATAAAATATAAAAATTCAATTCTAAATTTTGTTATAAATAATGCAATTAAATTTATATTATTAAAAGCAAGATATTAATTAATATCGTATATTGTTATAGTTTTATAACAAAATGTGAAATAAAAAATTGAATTAGAGCTACTTTGAGATTATGTTAATAATGTTAATTAAAATTTTTAATTTTTAATATGCTGTTTCATATTTAATTCGCGTGTAATTGATGAATTGAAGCTTAGTTATTGTGTAAAATTACCACCTGATTAATTTGTCGATTAACTGGCGTAATATGCAGAAAAGGAAAACCCAGAAAACTATAACTGCAGTCGAAATGGTAACTATTTATAAGTGTATGGACATAATTTTCTAATGAATGGTCTTAATAACCTTACAAGGAATTGTTTGTTAACCTCACAAGGTATTTATTTAGACCTTTTAAAACTTGCTTCTCGAGGTGCTTAATATGTGAAAAANTCATCAATAACATAATTATTTTTTTTAATTTAATAGCAAATTAGAAAATATTTTAATTTCATAATAAAAACAGAAAACATTTTTCTTGTAAGAGTATAGAAATATACAAATATAAAAGGACCGAAAGAAGTGAAAATGGGTCCCAGGACGATCATAAAATATGGCAATCTCGCCCCTCTCCAAAAGCCACAAAAATATACAAAGCAATAAAACAAGGAAAATAGATTTTTCACCACCACTTTCGTATCGTGTTTTTTATATTAAAAAGGTACAGTGTCTTGCGGTGACTTGATGATAGGGAAGATGTGACGACCCTGGATAGAATCATTGGAAGCGTTATATCATATTTAGTGTGTAGCATTCACGAGCTAAAACGCGAGAGGTTGGTGCTCTGTAAAGTGCATGCGGGAATGCCTGTAATCTGCTGCTTTACACGATTTAAATATTTTTGCCGTGGAAGCTATCCCATATTCGACAATAGCATTGGGAATATGCACATACAAATTTACATTTGAATATATAATAGCAATTTTATTATTGTTTTTCACATGTAGTAGGCTACAGAAATTTGTAATAACACACAATGCGATTATAATAAAATATTAATTTTAATTAATTCAAAGTACAGTACGTTAAAATATAAAAATAATCGCACAATATGTGTTTACATTTTAGAAAATACAAGGGAAGCGGCGTTTCCACAACTTTCATGGACTGCACGCCACTGATCATGAAGATTTCTCTTCCTGAACCATGGGCATCGGTGAACAATTTTCCATGGGCGAAGCTTGGAGATAAATAATTATATCAATAAATTTTTATTTAATTTTTTTGTGATTTCTTTCACGAGTAGAGTATAGAATATAATATTGCATCAAAACAAACGACAGACAAAGCATCTCGTGGTCGAAGGTGTAAGGTTACCTATCACAATCATTTTTACGATAATGACTTTTGGAATTGTTTACTCGATCTCAAGGGAAGTAGTTCGTTTTTCCCCTCTGTGGACTCTCTTATCCAGAATCTTCTTGTCTGTATTCACCACCGTCTATTTAAGTTATAAATAAATAATTTATATTTATGTTAATAATAACTTATTGTTTTTAATTTAATAAAAGAAATAATAGTATAAAAGCTATTCTTCTACTTGATAAGTATGAGAGGAAAACAAAGCACGTTGTTCATACTTTAAATTTATTTTCAACATTAGTGTTTATATATACATATATGACATACATATTGAGCAATACATGTTTAACGTAGACATTTATAAATATTAACATCTTTAATATACAATATTTATATATTTTTATCTATATATACATATAAAAATACTATCTCCGACATCACCATTAACACATTTTATTGTTCGCAACATTATTTGTAAACTCCTTTCTTCTACAACAGATTTTTGCATTATAAAATTATGTATGAAGAATTATATGAATGAGAATATACTTTCTTAAGTTTTATATAATTCATAATTATGCTTAATTTAAAAATAATGAAAAATAAGAGTAAAATTTTACTAGTTTTTGAGCATTAAAATGGAAATTAATTTAATAATTTATCTCATATATTTTGTATTCAGGCTCTTTGGAAGTTCTAATGACTAATATATTAATACACTTACTGTATAATATCTGCTATTTATTACCTATTATACTGTAATTGTTTATAATAAATTTGTAATATTTTTTTATATAAAATTTTAAAATTTTTCTTGAAATTTATTTTAAAATAGATTTTTCTTTGGAATTATGAAATATATTACAAATAAATTTTTCCCTGAGAACTAATAAAGTATGTAAGAAGATAGAATATTTATTTAATTATAAATTTATAACAATTAATTTGAATTTACTGCGATTGTTTATTTATATTTTAAATTGAAAATATGAATTTTATGCGTATTCTATTTTTTTTATTCAGCAATATTCTTATTTATTTTAATTTATTTAATGCTAAACAAATTTTTTCTAATATTTCTAATTAATTTAGCAATTTTTATGAAATATTTGAAGTATTTTTTTATGTTCTATCAATTTTTAATTAAATTTACAGTTTAATTATAATATAGATAATTTTCAAATATTTTTTAAAATAAAAATATACAAAGTTAAGATACTTGAAACAGAAAATAATATAGGCTAAATTTTAAAAATAAATAAAATTATAAAATATTCCTAATTTTTTTTATTGTAAAAAGTAGAAAATCATTTAAATAAATGTTTTTTGTACTGATAGCATTTGTTTATGTAGGATTCATATTCTTTAACTGTATTTAAATTGTACGTTATCGAGAAACGGAAGAAGGTAATTTTTTGAATTTTTTTTCAATTTAATCGTCGGGTACGTACAGATAATACGGCCAATAAATAGCATTGAAAATGAAGAATAACAAAGGGAAGAGGATTCTACAGACTCTGTCCACCATCATGGCTCTCTTCACATTGCGAGCTAATTCATTGGATGCATTTGCCTTCTCTGCCAAGTCGTTATTAATTGGAATCTTTTTCGTTCTCTAAGGAAAAAAGATTAAATTAAACTCAAAGGATTTATTACTACAAACAAATTTCATTATTTTCATCGACAGTTTCGAAAATTGATTAAGAATTTGCCTTTGTTTTGTTGTCGCCTTTCCTCATTCACGCGCCATTAATAAAGTTCTTTTGTATTTTTGAATAAATTTTTTTTATGTAATTAATAAAGAAATGTAAAGTAAAATGACTTTTTTCTAATAAAAAGACTATGCTTCACTTCACTTTATCGTTTTAAATACATTCGTAAATAGTATAAATGTGTGTGTAAATTGCTTACATATTAATAAAATACGTAAAATTCCTTATAAAATTTATATAGTTCATGTTTAAAAATGTCGACATTTTAAAATTTATCTTAAAATTATTTATATTTTTTATTCTTTAACAATATATGCCACTTAATTATTAACTAGGCCTATATTAATCCCAGTTTGATTTTATTAAGTAGTGAAATATGAAATAAATGCATAAATATGAAATATATACATGAAATAAGACCTGAACACAGAAATTCATTTCATAACTCCTAAATTAAGAATTAATTTATCATTTTAAAAAAATATTTTTTATATTTTTTTGTGGTGAACGATGAAAGATTCAGTTACTCGAACCATTAAATACTTTCCTACCAAATTACCGTTACATTTATCCTGGGAAGAAGAATGAATCTGGGAGAGAACCTTTTACTGTTGCTATAACGTGACTTTTATTATACATTAAATATTTAAAGCGACGTTTAAAAAACTTATACTTACTGCAAAAATATTTAAAGATCTTCTGAAATCTTCTGGACAGTGTTTACTTCTAGATAAATAATTAACTAAAGTGAACTCTAAGAGAGCACCGAATACCATCACCGAACAAGTTCCTATCCAGACATCGATGGCTTTCACGTAAGATACAGGAGGAAGTTGAGTTCTTACACCGGAAGCGACCGTGGTTAACGTCAGCAAAGTTGTCACTCCCAACGTCACTCTGGCGGGTGTGGCGTCGACGTTCAACCAAAATGATACCCAAGAAATCATGACTATTAAGAACGTCGGAAGATAAGTTTGTATCAAATGATATCCGTTCTGACGTTCCAATCTGAAGGTTGCATTCAGGAAACTAAAAGCACCTTTAAATAAACGAAACGTCTTTAGCCACTAATCCTAAAATTATTAATATATTAAACGCGCATTAGTATATGTTATATATTTATTCAAGGTCTTTACTATTATTTTTTAGTTCCTTGCGGATTAATTACTAAAGTCTATGATTTTAGAAAACTCAAACCTGTATCTATATGTCTAGTAAAATTATCGTATTTATAACTTATAAGGTTGAATTCGGGTAATTCTATAGGTGATTCTATTACAATTGGCGTTTTTCTATCCCATTGAATCTCCACTTGATCTACTGTTTGTGCATCTAAAAGAATGGAAAATTATACAATAATTAAAATAAAAACAAAAATATATAGACTATATATTTATCTATCAGACAGAAGATATTTTAAACATTTGATAATAATTTAAGTAAATTTTTCAAAATTATAATTAATACAAGTTTATTATTATTATAGCCACATATACAATAATTTCTAGTTAACGAATATAATTTTGAAGTATTTATTATTTTGATTAGAGATTTACTACTTAAACAAAAGGAATGGATTGTTGCCAAACACGTATAACACTCATCTAAACAGAAAAAAAACAACGTTAAAGAAAGGATCATTAGCAAATAATAAAGCTGTTAACAGTGTGAATAGATTGCAGCTACATAATATAACAAAAATAGTTAGGAAAACATCCTCA